GTAACAAGGTACAGCCTGCAAGAACCTGTTAAAAACACGTTGCTAACTTGTTACAGCTTAACTTTGTTACTATATCTACCCTACTAAGGATTTAAGGTTATTAGGTTCCTTATGCTGTCTGCGCTCGCGATTATCCTAGCTATAGTAAGTTGTTTACAATATATTGTTAACCTGTTCCTAACGTGTTTTAAGACTATTACTTTAATGCTAGTGTGGACCTTGCTAATTCCTGCTAGAATACCGCCTAGTTCCACTTGTGGTATGCTTTTGTAGAGCCTGGGGAGGATAGGGAGGATAGAGAAGATACTAGAGAGGGGGAGGGAGATAATAACAGCAACAAGTAGGAACACGTTAAGAACGTGTTAAGAACAGGTTCTAATAAACAATGTATAATAGCACATAACCTAAAGGGGTAGTAGTAATTGCTAAAATAAACTCTCTACTCTTCTCTTTTTTTTTCTATCTACTAAAAGTAAAGTACTATTTACTTTTATAGGGTCCTTTAATAGTATATAACTTTTTCTTTTAACTTTTATAGGTATTGCAAAGCTCTAGCAGTCCCTTGGATTAAAGAAGAATCTAGTATTTATAGGTGTCTAGCTATAACGTATTATTAATATGTTCTAAACGTGTTTTAAGAGACTAGACTTATATCTCCTTTTTGCTACTTTTGCTAAATATTATTTATAGTGTAAAGGGGAGCAACTATTTGCTCCTCTTCTTCACTCTCTACTTCCTCTTTAGCCTCTACTCTAGCTACCACTTCTTATTGTAGACTAGCTATCTTAGAGGGTTCTTAAACCTTAGAGGAGGCACTTAGTGCAGTCTACTCTACTAGCGGAGAACGTATTATCAACGTGTTTAGAACACGTTCTTAAGCATTTACTATTAAGCTCCTATAGAAGATCCTTGCTTCCACAATGCCTTGTATTGTGGTTCTGCTATAGTTTACTAGGGCTATTTAAACCTTAGGATAATACCTCTTAAGGTAGTAGATAAGATTGCCTCTATTAGAGAAGCGACGCTAAAATAGTTGTTAACATGTTATAAACATGTTCTAACTTGCATGTATACATACTCTACAAAGTTCCTATACCCCTAATCTAGCCTAAATAGCCTAGCAGAAAAGCTCGCCAGGAAATACTATACACCTATTATTTAGGTAGGATATTATAGGAGAGAATGCCCTAGTATTAGATAGAAGTGACTTAAGCTTAATATATCGCTAGTATAAATCCTACTTAGTATTAGAATAAGTTCACAACGTGTTCCTAACGCGTTCTATTACATACTAACTTTAAAAGATCTTTATAGACTATATTAACTAGTTATATCTAATAATATTAGGAAAGATAGATAGTAAAATAGTATTAAACTCTTAAATATAAAAAGTTCTTATAGAGTGTAAGAAGAAAGAAGAAGAAAGAGAAGAAGAAAGAATATATATTTATCTGCTTATGTGTGCTTACGTAATAGACTAGAACATGTTAAGAACTAGTTAGGAACTAGTTACTATATTTATAGACTAACCCTACCTTGCATAAAAAGTAGCTATCTCTTTCTTAAGTTTAAACTGTGCCTTTTGCAATTCAAACAGTGCCTTTTTCTGTGCAAGTTCTTCCTTATCTACCTCTAGCTTTTCTTTTCTCTCCTTTAGAGCCTAATTACTAAGAAGAGCCTTTTATTATAAAGTTTATAGTTATAAACTAATAATAAGTTAGGAATATATTATAAATATATTTTGCAAAGCATACCTTTAGGTTGCTGTTAGTAGAGGAGAAGAGCCTAGTGGTAGAGAAGATAGAAAAGGGGCTAGTAAACTTCTTTCTAATACCGCTCTACTACTTGCCCTTTGGCTTTAGGCTTTTAAGCGTGCTCTTTTATTTCTTATTAGGACTAAGATATATCTAGTTAAGTTAGATATAGCAAGACTTGCTTTATTATTATCTAGAGTATTATTATTATCGCAGGACGCGTTCTAAACACATTCTAAACACGTTTTAATTAGCGAATGTGCATAACGCCAGCGTAAGACTTACTTTCTCCCCTCTAAAGCTTTTTAAGGTACCTTTGCTTAAGCCTATTAGGAGTTCTATAGTTATAGCGTATTCTAAACTTGCTCTAGGCTTTAAACTCTTTTATATCCTGCAGATCTATCTAGTGTGCACTACACGATGTTACTTATACAATTCTAACAGGTTAAGAATAGGTTGTAAACTTACTTCTAAGTAGCCTTAAGAATACTTATATGCTTACTAGTTTTATATCCTTTCTGGCCTGCTTGCTTAGCTGTATTTAAATAAGATTCTAGTTTTTCCTATACCTCTTTTAACATTTTACTACAGCATTGCACAATCCTAGCAGCAATTACTAGGTTTTTCTTATAGATTGCCTAGTTTTAGGCATCTTTAGAGGGTTCGTGTTCTAATTATATAAGAAGGAGTTAGGAACACGTTTAGAATAGGTTCAGAATGTGTTTACTTACGTGAGAGGAGGTTAGCAAGCTAAAAGTATTCCTCTGCTATTAATGCCTATAGTAATTCACTTAGACATAAAGAGGTAGTATTATCTAGCTCTCTTTTATATGCTTTATAAATACTTCTTTATAGATATACTTAACAAAATCTTATACAAGATTAAAGTTACTAGCGCTAGTCACGCTTATAGGGATTAATTAACTAGAGATAGCGCCTAAGTCCTAGAAACAAGTTAGAAACACGTTACAAACATGTTGCAGTGCGCCGTGAAACTTACCTATTATCTACTTATTACACATATTAATAGTAGTCCTATAGAATCCCTATAAGTAAATATACCTCTATAACACTTATCTTTTTATAAGTGCTTTACACTTCTAAAAGAAGTTAGTAATAGTAACTTAATATATCTTAGTTATATCCTTATCTATAATAATTTAGCTAAGTGTAATAACTGCAACGTGTTAGAAACATGTTACAAACCTGTTCTTAATACGTACGCTTCTTTTCCTGCAGGTAGAAGATTACTATTAGAATCTCTGCCTATACCCTATACAACCTCTTATATAACATATCTATCTAGAACGTGTCTTAATCTAATAGAATTAATGCCTACTCTTTAAAAAGGCAAATAATTAAGTTACCTAAGCTTAATATAAAGATTTACTATATATACGCCTGTAGTAACGTGTTAGCAACGTGTTCTAAACCTGTTCTCTTACACCACGTACAGTTTTAGGATCCTAATGCTTTATCCTCTACTTATAGTATACTCCTCTAAGGCTACTCTTAAATAGGAACTATAGAAGCTTTTCACGCTTTATAATACGCAAGATTTTATCTTTATTTGCAAAGCTAATATATATTTCTTTAATAGAATAGAAACCTTTAAGTTAGAGATAGGTTTAGAGCTAGGTTAAGTTTAGGAACTAGGCTATAACAAGTTAGGAACACATTTGTAACAGGTTGCAAACAACTTATATTGCGTAAGCTACAGAGTAAGCATAGGCTACAACACCTTTACTACTTCCTTAATATTACTATTAGATAGTGTTAAGGGAGGAGGAGGTATATGTGTATGTATACTAAAAGAAATAATAGCAAAAAAAGGTATTGCTACTATATCTATTAGTATAATTACTTAGAAGGTAACTTCACATAGGATTTTAAACAGAGATCCTTACCCTTATAGATAATTAACGCCTAGAATATATTAGGAACGTGTTAGGAATAGGTTGCAATATGCCTACCACACTTCTTTATCTAGCTTAACTATAGCTTAACCACAGAATATAAAGCAGGACTACTAGAAAGATTTAATATCTCCCTAGTTAGAAGACCTTGTAGATATATAGAGTCTACCTCTAGTAGTACCTAACTAAAATAATGTTTTTTCCTAGTAGTAGATATTAGGCTATAGTTCTAACAGCTAATATATAGTTAAGCCTGTTCTACAATTTACTAACTTGTTATTAACACGTTTTAAACATGTTTAAGTTTTGCTCCCTACCTAATTTACTATAGTCCTTATTATAGGACAATAAGACACCTAGTAGTCCTTATAAATCCTTAAAGAGAAGCGCTTAATAAGGCTATAATAATAGCTTCTTATTCATAGTTCTCTTTGTAGAATTTTCTTAGGTACTACACTTTTTAAGGTTTAGATCTAATTATATAATACGTTATTAATAACGTAATAAGAACACGTTTATAACGTGTTCTTAAGATACTTACACGCTTTTACCCTAGAGTATTAGTATTTATACTAGCTTGCTAGCTAGCTATTAAAGAATAGTAAAGTTATAGGCCTGTTAAGATAGACAGACTAGCAGGAGTATTATACCTGCTAGAATTAGAACAATTTAAGAACGTGTTCTTAACGTGTTACCTATATAGCCTGCATAAGCACCTCTTCTCTTATTAGGTAAGAGCTATCTTTATATTGCTAAACTAGTATTATATACCTATACCCTTAGCTATATAATTAAGGGTATGCTAGGAGAATAGCTATATACTTAATAATTGCTAGTGTAAGTGGTAGTCCTTAACTATTACTACAAGTAAGGTATACATTGTGCCCCTATAACGTGTTACTAACCTATTCTAAACTTGTTCTATTTACTTTTACTTACTTCCTTAACGCTACTGCTACTATCCTCCTCTAGCACTTTATACAGTTGCCTAAATTCATCTCTAATATTACTATCTAGTTTAGATACATTATCTAGTACTGCTGTACTAAACTCTAGTATAGTATTTAGGAACGCCTACATATTATTAAGAATAGGTTTAGAACACGTTTAAAAAAGATAGTAATAAAAACTGCGTTTACTTGCTTAAATTACCCTAATTTATACTTAACCATAGGCTAGTTCATATAACCATGAAAATTTGCCGCTGTGACGTAGACTTGAACCTACAGGGATATTCTAACCACTCGGAGTAAAGCCCAAGTCGCCCGACGCTAAACCCATGGTCATATGACATGCCACCACGCCACCACACATGTCTGTATCTTGTGCATCATACCCATCGTAGGTACCTACGTCGTGTAGTAACTTAGCCTATGCACTTCCACTCCACCATACCCTACCATATCAAATCACGTGATACAACCCAACCATCCCCAACCCTCAACCCCCAACTCTCACTCCTCCACCTATCATGCCTCTCCATCATACCCTCTCTGGCGCGAAATATCACAGACTCACTCACTCCCCTCTTCCCCTCCCCTCCCCACCCGCTTCCGCACCTCTCTATCCCCACCCAGACGCGCGCGCGTCCAATCCATCCAGTCCGCTATCGCCCTCTGTCTACTGCGATTTGACCCCCGCAAGCTAGCCCGTGCAGACGTGCTATCTGCTGCGGAAATGACAGAGGGTGCAGGCGTGGGTGTAGGCCTGGGCGTGATGCTTAGCCGACGTTTACGCAATGGGACGTTTTCTTCTTCTCCTTCTCCGCGTTCTCGACCAACAAAATCAAGACCATCGTCAGAATCTGCATCCCGGCAAGTAAACTCATCCTCCTGTTCAGCAGTCTCAGACGACGAAATCGGACGCTCGAAGAGCTGCCTCAGAAACTCTTGATTGCGCCTCCGTGCCATGACTTTTGCACGGCGAGACTGGGTATGTATGTGCGGTGATGGGTAGGGAGATCCTGACAAAGGAGGACTAATCATGGCTTTATTTTGTGCAGTATTGGTTTTTTGAAGAGGAGTAGGTCTCGACCGTGCTGCTGCTGCTGCTGTGGTTGCCGGAAGGGTTTGAGGGGTTTCTGACGCTGAGCTTTTGAAGACAATGGGGTTTTTGGCCGGCTTCTTACTTGATTTGTCAAGTCTCGCGGGTGCAAATGTGCATATCGATGGGTTCAAGACTCGAGGTTTTTTAGCCGTGGGCTTGGTAGGAGGCTTGGTCGGTGATTTGATTGGCCTTGGTGAGATAAGGTGATGGCCAAGATGTTGTTCTTCATCGTCTTCTTCGTTGGCGGAAGGCTCATACATCTCGTCTTCATCGCTACTGCTGGAAAGATTGTGGAGTATCTTTCTTTTTGAGCGCGCACAGGGCGAACAATAGGGACTTTTCGTAGTTGGCGAAGATGCTAGGGTCTCTGAGGAGGAGAATTTCCCAAGGCCATGTCCGTTGCCTTTCCGGAAACTGGCTGAATAGGAAGGCTTTGAACGGTTTCGTGTTGGCGGTGTAGTGAGAATGGCCGGTGAGTGAAGGGATGGCGATGGAGTTGCTAGTTCGTCAGAGCATGCTGCTGGGTTGATTCGCGACTGCTTCGTATGACCTGTAGACGCCAATGCCACGTACGATGGCTTCTGCTGTCGCCGAGGCGCAACAGATGTGTTGGAGACTGTAATTATTAGTAACTTGAGTGTCTTGATCTTTGTCGAGCATGCTTACTACCCGCCGTTGAAATATACCCAGTAGGCTGTTTGTCCTTTGTTCGAGGTCTGGGTACCGGTAAATCCGGCTCTCTTCTGGAATCCTCAAGGGACGAGGTTCCAGGATAAGCTCCAAAAGCATCTCCAAACCCCTGTGCAGAAGGGACAGAGGATGGTGTAGGCGTTGGTGTACCATGATGATGCTCTTGCAAACTGTAGGTTTTCTTTTTCTATGCCCTTGTCAGAATTCTTGTATTGTGTATTCACGAGCCAGAGCAATAACGTACAATTATCTTCGTTGATTTCACATTGGACAACTCCGGCGTCGCGGTAGGAATTCTGATAGCTGATCTCTTCTTTGGGACTGTGTTGTTTACGCAAGACTCAGCTACCGACTTTGGATTGCTATCTTTCTCCTCATCGGAGCAGAGGTCAACGATCGCCGGCGCTGCGGTCTTGGGTGTCTTCCGCAGTGGTGGCTTGTCTGCTGTAGAGTTTGGTTTTGCTGGGGATCTATTGTTTCCTGGTACCGTTGTTGCAGTGTTAACTGGAGCTGCCGTCTGTCCGCCTGTTACACTTTTACTGGTGACGTCCCTCTTGTCATTAGCTGCGGTTGCACCGCTCTTCCTGACATCTTTCCAAAACGTTTGTTCTTCCTTCTGTTGTCTCACCGAAAAGAGTTTCTCTGCCTCCTTCACCCTAGCATGGAAGGTATTGCGCTCTTCCTCCTGCTTGCGAGAGAAGCTAAGCCAACGTTTGTCTTCATTTGGAGGCATTGCGAAGGGCATGAGATGTGTAATCACGAAGCGGGAAGAAAAGGTAAGGTGAGAGAAAGGTGAGTGGGTGAGAGAAAGATGTGGGTGAGAGAGGAGAAGGGTCTATATAATAGGTGGGTGCGGCTTCAAGCTGAGGTGAAGGTGAGGGTGAGATGCACAGTGAAGTCGAATTGAGGACAGGGCATAACGTCATGGAGGCCGACAGTGAGCAGGATTCGACATGTGCCGACTAGATCACAATATAATGTTTTAAACTCTGCCCAGCTTAAGATCATTAGGTATATGTGTGATGGGTACGCTGAAAATTGAAGGTCTCCCAAACCTGTTACTGAGAGCCAAATTTAGATGCACTGGAGGCTAACTAAGAAATGGCTCAACGGCTCACAGAGATCAGTCTCATGGATCGATCTGCCGCCTTCTGCCCTTTCCATGGCGTTATTGGCTGGCCGTTCTCTCTTGTCTCCTTTGCGCAGCAATGTGCAAGCTACACCATGCCTTATGCTGGATACTGGCAGAAAAACACTCTTTTGGGCTTATGATATGCCGTGTAACACCAGAATCGCGGGACTTTGGGTGTAGTCCATGACGTCGTACACGTTTCGCGTCTCTTTAATGCTTCTTATGCCCATTTTGTCATCGCATTATCACCATCATCCAGCCACAAATGGAAGGCCTCCAGCACATGGATGTTATTTGGAACATCAAGTCCACATGCATCCTTCGTTCCCTCACAGATACTTCTTCGCCGCCGCTGCAACCCTACTCCTAAACACCGGGCTCCTAACCTGCTCCCCGACCCCAACATTAAAAAAAGGATTCATAATCGTCTTGACCCAACTCTCGTACACCTCGAACATGAAATTCTTCACCGCCTCCTCTGTAGCCGGAGCAGTAGGATTGTAGACGCCCCCGCTACTGCCCAGCGCCGCCCTGCCTCCAGCAAGACTGCCCCTCACACCTCCGCCCGCCATATTTCCCAACGACTCATCGCGCGGCCGCGTCATCAACAGGAATCGCGTGTTGCCGCCAGTGATCCAGCAGGACACATACATGTTTTGATACTTGTCAATGTGTTTGAGGTACATTGGTGCGGAGCCTGATGAGGTGCTGGGGCCCCATTGGACTTCTTCGACGATGTCGAGGGAGGAGTGTAGGATGAAGGGAACGAGGGCGCGTTCGGCGGGGAGGAGGGAGGAGACGCCGGTGCCAGAGGAGCGCGAGGTGCCAAAGTCGTGTGTGAAGAGGGGGGTGTCATGCGGTGAGATGATGTGTAGGCTGTATGACATCTTTTGAGGGTTCAATTGTGGGAGATTAGTGTCTGAGGTCTGGTCCGTCAGGTGGACTCGACGGGTGAAGGTTGCGACTAGCAATGAAGACGTGGGGTGTGTGATGTTTCGCTCAATGCTCTGGCTACTAGAACTGATCCTTTCCTGAAGCTATCACAATCCCTTCCCAAATTGTCTCTGCTCCAGCTGTAATATCACAGAAAGTCCCTGAAATCTGTAAAAATTCGTAACGTCGTATTGCGAACCTGGGGGAGAGGTGGTCCGACGACATGGCATGGATAGAGCGGAGCTAACCTCCACCCCACGCTAAACAGCCGCCAAGACCTCCGCGGGAGTGTGCGCTTTTGCAGCCAACTCCACATTCACCCATCGCGAACGTCTTCAATTGATCAACGTCTGCGCCGCCAGTAAATCACCCACTATGTTTGGCGCATTCCGTCTGACGAACCCACTATCGGGTGGTCTGCTATGGTACGTTTGCACCAGCTCACGGCTCCATCCCTCCGCAATGCCTGTTCCTCTCTCTGTACACATCCTTAGATGCCCCAATCTTCTGCCCCGTCTACTTCCCACCCATTCTCTCATACCCAACTAACACTCTCCTCCCTTTTCTCCGCAGGAAAATCCCCTACCGCCTATCGCGACACCAAAAATACCGCCAACGGGAACGCCTCCGCCACGTCGACACCGTCGTGTCCACCCTCGATACCGCACTGCGCCGCCTCGGCAGCAGCATGAAGAAGGTCGAGCGCTGGAAAGCCGAGATGCCAACGGAAGCCGAGATGTTGCCCAAGGATAAATACAGTGTCTTTGATCGCAAGGTCAAGAGGTATCGCAAGGGAATTCACAGTAAGACTACATTTCACGACTCTGCGTATTTTTTGCCTGCAGGGTAAATAGTATATATGCTAACCACGAGCTCCGGAAACACAGAAGTGCCAAAATGGACACGCGTCAGTCAACGCCTCAATCCTCCTGGTTTCTAAAGATAAAGGGGGACGACACAATTACAATCACATACACATACCCATATACACATACCCAACTACAACCCATCTCGACACACACGCCCACCCACCCTTCCAACGCACACACGCGTTCACATCTATACGCACACATCCAACAACATCCCCATCTCCACCTCTCATCTCCATTCCATCCCTCCACTGAAAACCCCCGGACTCGGGAATGGGCACGCAGGCAAGGGCATGACTGCACATGCGCCAACACATCAACAACAACTTCAATGGCGTTTTATCACCGCCACTCCATACATTGTATCGTATTGTATTGTACTGTACTGTATGTAATAAACCCAGATACTCCATCATCCATCCAATAGTGGATAACAATACAATGCAATCAAAGTAAAATGACATGCAATCCAACTATGAAATGTATACAACTTTAACAGTCTCCAGCCTTCATGATTAGTATACTCACCATTTTATCTTTGAGAGAACTCAACAGTTGGGAGTAGTACCATATCTACGAGTAAGAGCAAAAACAACCCCTAAGTTGAGATTTGGAATCGGAAAAGCAAAGGGTGGGTGGACACAAGAGGCAAAACACTTCACACATGAAAGCAAAGGTAAAATCTAATAAAATATGGGATTTTCTTGCAAGGACAAAAAGGATTCCAGGTATCACTTCACCATCAATCCAATGCAATGCGTCAAGTCAAGCGCAAAACAATGGGTACGAAGTGAAAAGGATACAAAAGCAGGAACCCTGCACTGTCGCATCCTGTCCGTGCAAATGAAACAAACAAATAAACGATCAAGAATCTGGCCTTCCAATGCTTACAACACAAGAGATGCCTTTCATGCAATAAATTCGCGCACCCAATCCAGTCTACGCCACCATTACCCCTATACCCCCAACCTCCATGCTCACCGTTTCGATGAACTCT